GAAGCCCACGGCTTCAATCAGTCGTGTATTTGCACGTACAGCACGACTAATAATTAACTGCACTTGAGTTCGTAAAATTTAAAATATAAACACCCAAAACTGTATACGGGTCCATAACGAAAACCAACTGTATGTCGATACGTGAAATTCTGGAGGGAATGTCGGACGGCGTGGCGTGGGGACGTAATGACGTATGCCGTTAATCCATCTACATTCTATAACATGTAAAACAGGAACATGAAAGGAATACTCTAAAAGTGACTCATGTAAACACCTTAATCAGATTATTGTCTTATTCAGAATAAGGTCAACAATTAGATTACTGCTGTCCGTGTAAACAGTAGTCATCGTTGCTGCGTTTATGGTTTTCGTTTCACGGTTATTCTTTGCCTTATTGTTTTGCTGCCTATTCATAGTTCTTGTTTTGTGTTGGTAATAACTATCTAATCCAATCTGCACTTGTTTCCGTCTTCGCCTTGCAATCGTGACATCATGAATCAGTATATGGTGTTTACGAGTTGGGGCACTGGTTGGTAATGAACCTGGCTCACGGCACACTGGGACACCGATGACTACGTACTCGCGTTGTAAAACCTCACCACCGGCATTTATCAACAACAAGCGGGACCGATATCGTTCTGACGTTATATGTCGTATAAAACTTGTCAGCTTCATCAGGTGCGTTTCCGTCATGGTACTTCAAGCAGGCTCGCACTCTAGCTAGTGGATATTTTTTTTCAAATCGTTACACGCTCAAAAAAACGCAGAATAAAGTTCAAAACCGATAGCGTGAGAAATCGTTTGAGAGCTACGACAACGATAACAAGCTTCGTACGTGTGTAGACGAAGTTGGCCGAGAGTTCGTCCGGCGGTTGTGGGTATTTTTTTTTCGAGCTGAGAAGCTTCAGAAAACGTGATGTCATTTCCGTTCAGGGAATAGAGCGAGCATCGACGCGCCCTGGGTTTCGCGGTGCATCGTGGGGTTTTAAGGGAGCAGTGCACTGGACACAGCCCTTAACATGGCCGACTCCTTGATCTACTGACTACTAGGGAGCCGACTGAGACGCACCCTGAGATTTAGTGTTGGCCTTTACCAATTAGATCTAGATTTTTATTTTTTTTTGCCTTAAAATAAATAAAAAAAAAGTCACAAACATTCCTCAGATTTCTAACTGAAAAATAAGCACGTCTATGCTGCTTCTCCAGTGCGGTTGCTACGGTGATGTGATCAGACCTCGCCAAAACGAACATGCCGCAGTTTCCACAGTGCACGCCGGAAGTTTCTGCTTCATCTCAAAGTTGGTTCACGGACCAAAAAATGAATAAAATCAGGACTCTAGATGGAGAAACTCCTCTATGTGTGAACTCTGAATCGGGACAGAGGACAACGTGGCATTAGCAGGTCATGGAAGCTTCCGGACTGCTGTGGCTACAAAAAAAAAATAAAGCGCCACTGGGAAGAAAGGTTGCCGCTACACACAGCCCTGACAGCTTAATTAGCGCAGCTGCTAAAGATTTATTGGTTCGGCAATCAGTGCCTGTAGCTACGGCTCGCCTCGGGGGTGGATACACACGGCCATTATGATGCGCTCTGTGGCCTGGTCAACCACAACACACACACACACATCTGCCCCTACAACACAAGCCATGTTAGGACAACCTACATACACAAAGACCCCAAATATCGCTGTGGCGATTTTACACAATGAAGGAAAGTGTTGTTGATCATCCAGCTCTACTCGATTATATTATTTACACCACAGCGCTGTCGAGTTCTGCACTCTGATTGGTCAGAAAGCACCGATTAATCTTCTACAACAGCGGCGTCAACTGCGAAGAAAATCACAGGTTTAAATGAATGCGCTCGTTCGAATAGGTTACTGTTTCTATTGTCTCAAAGCATAGCTAGTGTTTTTCATGGAGTGTGACGACAGGGGTTATGATAGTTTGTGGATCTGGGAACCGAACTAGAATTCTCCTCCATCGTACTGTATACACCCGTTACTATTCACATATACAGGACATGCTGGGAGGCAGCAGTGTTGCATCAGATGAGGCTGATTTAGGCTACGTGCAACTCCGGGGGTATTGAAAATAAATAAATAAATAAATAAATGCAAGCAAGCTCTGAACGTAAATAAATAAGACACCCAACTTTTATTTACACCGAGCTCTCTCTGGGAAAACGGCAACAAAAGCTACTGGACTCCAGGGCTTATCGACTTATACGTCCGGCTCTTTTTCCGATGTGCGTTCTAAAAAAGAAGGATGAGACGAGATGGAGGTAAAGAGGACGGAGTGTGAGATGAGGAGTCTGTCAGGAGAGAAAAACAAGTGAAGACGAGTGAGCTTACACGGATCGGATTTTTCCTCAGAGAGTCGCCCACAGCGAGCCGCTGCAGTTCAGGCCAATGCTGCCCCCGTGTGTCTGCTCGGAGCATTACGTGTTCGTAGCTGTATCTCACAGCTGTATCTCACTGGACCGAACATCTGCATACACACATCTTATTGTTGTTATTACGTGCTGAATTTAAAAAAAAAAAAACTACATTCTATTAGGGTTTCCTAGGGGTTCTCCGGTTTCCTTCCAATGCTCAAGAACATGAAACGTTGCCCCTAGGTGTAAAGAAGTGTGTCAGCGACTGTGTGCGTGTGCGCGCGTGCATGTGCGCGCGTGTGTGTGTGTGTGTGCGCATGGTGGCCTGCATAGAACTGGCATCCCTCCATGGTGTATTCCTGCCTAATGCCCAGTGCTCCCAAAATAGGCTTCGGATCCATCCTGACCAAGTTAAAAGTGCTTACTACTTACTTAATTACTGCATCTCTCACACATGCTTTAACTCACACACACACACACACACACACACACACACACAGACAGAGCTCTACGCTCTATGTACCTGAAGGAGCCTCCCCCGGGATCGTTCACTTTGTTCTTCTGAGCCCCTGAGAGCTGCACGCTGACTGCCGAGGGGCTTTTCCCCACCTGCACCACCGGACTCTTCCCTACAGCACCTGAGGAAAGGGAGTAAGCGGATTATTGGGACACGTCCCAACACATCTGTGTCATGTCAAACCCGTCTCTCTCTCCTGATGCTGTCTGTCTGTCTGTCTGTCCACTTGATCAGTTCCCGGATCCATCTATATTTCTCTTTTAAGTGATGCATCTGTCTTTTTTTTTCCCCCCAGACCCAGTACTTTGGTACTTGATGATACCGATACGAATCTTGATACTGATACCAAAATAAATAAATAAATAAATAATAAATAACTACTTGGTATTAATCAATCAGACTCCGTTTAGGACGCCGGACTCGTCCTTTATAACATCGGTGAGTTGGGTTTAAACGAAGACGAGGTGCATTCGCTAGCTAGAGTAGGGTTTTGGTTCGACGCTGCCATGTGCTCCTAGTAATGGTCCCATGGTATTGGGCGTTGGTGTCAGAGCGCTTCGTACAAAAACGACTGATTGAGCAGGTTATCTGAGCAATAACGGTACCGTTATGGATTCATCCCTGGATTCTTATGCTGTTACTCGTACGCCGATTTTATTGTAGCTCTTTGTTTGTTTTGGTCTTACTTTCCTGCTCTGTGACATTTCTAAGACTTAAAGCGGGCTATACAAATGAAACCTCTCTCGTCCCGGACTCTCTTCTTTCTTTACCGCTCTCTCTCGGTCTTTGTCTAATCGTCCACATCTCTGTAGCATGTACTGTATTAGCCCCATATAGTGGTGGTAGTGGTGTAATCTGTGGATTTGTGTGAAACACAGCACAAGCCTATAAAAAATAAAAAAAAACTCATACAGTGCTACTAATGTCCAATCGAGGACGTTTCGGCGATCAGGAGCTCTTACCCGCCGGCCGCACTGTCTGCGTGATGACCACGGGCATCCGGACCTGCCCTCCTACCGTCCCTGCCCTCTTAATATTCTACATGGTGATAGAAAGCAGACGATAAAGACAACGTCATAGCAGTGAATATGTTATTTGTCGACAACTTTCGTAGAAAGGTCATAGAAAAAGAAGCACCTATACAAAGATCACATAACATTTATTTATAGAATGAACTGGGGATGAAAAAGTGCAGCTGTAGGTAGGAAACAACCAGGAGGAAGGAAAAGGAAAAACAAAAGATAAACATAGCTGGAGAGCGAGAAAGAGAGAGAGAGAGCGCATTAATAAGCAGGACGTCCCCTCCGTAGGGCCCCTAGCGACGCCCCCTGGGCCCTCATCCATCCTGCCCTGTTCTCTCATGCTGCATATTTCACTGCCTTGTTTTCCTGCACACTGCCGCAGCATCACTACGCCTTCAGCTCCGTCCCAAACTCCGCTCAGGGCCTCCGAGACGAGAAAACGCATTCAGCCCAGGAGCTGTGGGCTCGCCGCAACGCGACACAGCGAGGGAGGGGCCGAGACAAACTAAAAGCGGAGGAAACATTTCGCTGGAAACAAACGAGTCGATCTACAGGTTAGAGCAGATCTGTTGGAGAGAGGGGGAAAAAAAACGAAAAGAAAAAAGCGCAGCGAGTGAGGTTGACGGGTGATTAGTAATAAAATCCCTGGACGAATAAATCAGTCGCAAAATGCATACAGTAGCAGGGCCTTACTGTATACATTGATCGATTTAGCCCATTGTCTGAGGTAGCTCGTAGAAGCCGTGAAACGTTTACGACTTAGACTTCTCATTCCCATTTAAATGACATGTAAAATGTTCAAATCGGGATGGGTGATAGAACAGTATCCACCCATCTTCTATAGCACATATCCTACAGGGTCACGGGGAACCTGGAGTCTATCCCAGGGAGCATCGGGCACAAGGCGGGGTACACCCTGGACAGAGTGCCAGTCCATCGCAAGGGCAGAATCACATACACACTCACACACCCATTCATACACTACGGACAATTTAGACACGCCAATCAGACTACCATGCATGTCTTTGGACTGGGGGAGGAAACCGGAGTACCCGGAGGAGAACATGCAAACTCCGCCCACACAGGGCGGAGGAGGGAATCGAACCCCCGACCCTGGAGGTGAGAGGCGAGTGTGCTAACCACTAAGCGACCGTGCGCCTTGATAACAATATACATCATATCAAATATGACACATTTTAACGCAACACTACTGTTTGCTTGTTCGCAAAAAACCTAAATATTGTAATGCATACGGTTTACTTAGTAATCTCTTGGAGAATCCCGATATGATATTTTCGTCGTATTGCCCGTCTTATGTTCACTATACTGTACACTAGTCCAACAGAGCTAGATTTCACATCACGTTAACGAATGCAGAACGTTCTCCGAGACGAGAGCGCGTTACTAATGGGAGTAGGGGGCGGGGCTTCCAGTGGGGTCAGGTAATATCGGAGGCTGCGTCCGAAATCGTATACTGTGAAGGTACCTGCCGCATTCGACCGAGTACCTACGGCACTACATCCACCATGTTGGCATTGTGTCCTGTGACTCTTTTACTGCCTTCCGCCGTTTTTGATTCGGATTCAGCTCTTCCCCTGCAGTCCCGTTGCATTATGGGATAGCGCAGTGTGTGTCGCTTCCATACTGCAGTATCTCGGCGGAAGCAGAAGGTCATCAGGGAATTTTTTCACCTACCGTTTTATGAATACTGAGAATTCGGATATACTACTCCTTTGGCGTAATGCTTTTCGCCTATGAACGCCTTTTTTGCCTATTACATCTATGAGACTGTCAATCATTCCAGATTCGCATTTCGATTGGCTGCCATTTTTATTGAGAGTGAAAAAAAAAATATATATATATATATATATGCGCACTATATTACGATATTAAGACTCTTAAGCAGTAGGTGTGAAGGCTGGCGGATATGGAACATTAAAAAAAAAATGGTAGGTTTGTACGGTCAAATTCTGAGAATAGTGTTCATTGAGACAAGTCTTCGACAAGCAGGACATTTTGACAGTTTGATTTGATTTGACTGCAGATACGTCGCTGACGTCCAACCAAAAGCCACAAATTTAGTCCAGACTCGGTGTTATTTGTTTCACTGAAGCCTCCATCTTCTGGCTTTCACTGTTCGTTGTGCTAATTGCAAACATTTCGGCCCCCGGGTTTGCTCTGATTGGCTGAGAGAGAGAGAGAGAGAGAGAGAGAGAGAAAGACAAGAGCCTACCTGTTGTGGTGTAACAGTGCTGTTAGGTTGCCGGGGGGCGTTACCAATGGTAACAGCCCCGGCGACGGCTACCATTGGAGACGCGGTGGTCTTAGGCTGCGGGGGCTGAGTGAGCGACTGCTGACTGTTCAACAGGGACAAACGCAACGCTGGCAGGCTTTTCTACACACACACACACACACACAGATTAATATATATGAACAATATGTGAAAAGAATATTCATGACTAGTATTAGACATCATAAGCATAAAGCGAAATCATATAAACTTGTGATCATATCTTGGTGTGTATGTACTTTCGCTAAGAAGCCTTCCGAAAGATAAAAAATAAAAACAACAGCATAACTTTAAACTCCTAACTGAGATACAAACATTCTTGGCACTATAGTTTGCTTGTATTTATACAGCCCATGTAGATCACTTGACACGCTCCTTATAATCAGACGTACGTATACTGTATTTTTGTGTGTGTTACTATGTGTGTGTCTGTTTCAGGATCTGAGCATGCTAACATGGCGTGACAGCACGGATCATGAGTGTCGGTGGCAGCATGTGACGCACGTCACGGTTGGCTAGACACGCCTGCGGGACACTGGCCGGAGCCGCCCGGAGGGACGGATGCTGTCACGGCACACCCCCGTGCAGGACTCGAAAATACACAGTGTGCGGTGTTCGTGTGAACGGTACGACTAAAGGGAGTCCAGGGTAAAGCAAATTCACGTGCGTCACGTTTATTAGCGTGCCTGCAATTAAGCTAGGTTGAAATGCTGTGTGTGTGTGTGTGTGTGTGTGTCACCTTGAGAAAAGGCACCAGGTAAGGCTGTGGTGAGGACTTCAGCTCCGTCTGCAGCCGGCTGGTGAATTCTTCCGGTTCGATTTTGGCATCCTGAGACGATGTAAAAAAATAATAATAATAAATAAATAAATAACCTGCGCTGCATATGCTATTTCACATAACAAGTTTACATCTAGTCCACAAGACACAATAATAACTGAACGTCCACACGTGAACCCGTTCAGAAGTTTACACACGCTCGATTCTTAATCCTGTGTGTCGTTACCTGGATGTGTTTATGTTTTGTGAGCGTTCTTCACGAGTCCCTGGTTTGACCTGAGCACTATAATCTGCCCAGTGTTCTTCACGAAAAATCCTCCAGGTCCTGCACATCCTTTACTTTCCCAGCATGTTCTGCATATTTGACTCCTTTCCACCAGCGACTATATGCTGTCGAGATCCATCTTTTCACACTGAGGATGACTGAGGGACTCGTACACGACTATTACAAAAGGTGCCGGCGTTCACTGGCGCTTAAGAAGGCAACACGATACATTAAGAGACGGTTGTAAACTTTTGAACAGGAGATCGGTGTAAGATTGTTATTTTGTCTTCTGGGAAACTAAATAAACAACAATATGCAATCTGTATGATCCCTCATATATATATACTGTATATATATATATATATATATATATATATATATATATATATATATATATATATACACACACACACATATACACACAATTTTTGAGTCAGAGGTTCAATTCATCTAAAACGTGCCTCCATCGCTTATCAAAATAAAATTTCCGAGGCATTTTATTCCGTAAAAAACTTATTTTGTTGTCCGATATTGCAAGAGGCCCTGCAGCTTCGACCTTTCACACAGCCATATAACCTGGAAACAGACGTTTTCAGATAGTTGTCATGGTTACAACGAGGACGCAAGTGTTGCGTAAGCTTGGGGGTCATCTCTTCATCGTCTAGGTGATGGGACTGAGTTTATATGGTTAACCCCAGGTAATGTCAGTGGTCTGTTGGGACTCACCAGAAGGTCCTGCACCAGTGCTTTCACGTTCCGTGACGTCTCCGGGGAGGGGGAGTTATGGGATGCGAGTTTGATCAATGTTGCCAGGAAGTTCTTACACTTTTTCACATTCTCTTGCATTTCCTAAAGAAGAGGGAATGGACTTTAATGCCATGACACACTGCGTGTTTCTGTGTGTGTGTGTGTGTGTGTGTGTGTGTGTGTGTGTGTGTGGATTAATGACGAGAGACTGATACCAGAGAGAAAGAGAGAGAGAGAGAGAGAGAGAGAGAGAGAGAGAGATGTAAGAAAGAGGTGAGAAAGAGAGAGAGATGTGAGAAAGAGAGATGTAAGAAAAAAAGAAAGAGATGTAAGAAAGAGAGAGAGAGATGTGAGAAAGAGAGAGATGTAAGAAAAAAGAAAGAGATGTAAGAGAGAGATGTGAGAAAGAGAGAGAGATGTAAGAAAGAAAGAGAGATGTGAGAAAGAAAGGGAGATGTAAGAAAGAGAAATGTAAGAAAGAAAGAGAGATGTAAGAAAGAAAGAAAGAGAGATGTGAGAAAGAAAGGGAGATGTAAGAAAGAGAAATGTAAGAAAGAAAGAGAGAGATGTAAGAAAGAGAAATGTAAGAAAGAAAGAGAGAGAGATGTAAGAAAGAGAAATGTAAGAAAGAAAGAAAGAGAGATGTAAGAAAGAGAGAGAGAGATGTGAGAAAGAGATGTAAGAAAGAGAGAGAGATGTGAGAAAGAAAGATGTAAGAAAGAAAGAGAGATAGATGTGAGAAAGAAAGGGAGATGTAAGAAAGAGAGAGAGATGTAAGAAAGAGAGAGAGATGTGAGAAAGAAAGATGTAAGAAAGAAAGAGAGATAGATGTGAGAAAGAAAGGGAGATGTAAGAAAGAGAGATAGATGTAAGAAAGAGAGAGAGATGTGAGAAAGAAAGATGTAAGAAAGAAAGAGAGAGAGATGTGAGAAAGAAAGGGAGATGTAAGAAAGAGAAATGTAAGAAAGAAAGAGAGATGTAAGAAAGAAAGAGAGATGTGAGAAAGAAAGGGAGATGTAAGAAAGAGAAATGTAAGAAAGAAAGAGAGAGAGATGTAAGAAAGAGAAATGTAAGAAAGAAAGAGAGAGAGATGTAAGAAAGAGAAATGTAAGAAAGAAAGAGAGATGTAAGAAAGAGAGAGAGATGTGAGAAAGAGATGTAAGAAAGAGAGAGAGATGTGAGAAAGAAAGATGTAAGAAAGAAAGAGATAGATGTGAGAAAGAAAGGGAGATGTAAGAAAGAGAGAGAGATGTAAGAAAGAGAGAGAGGTGTGAGAAAGAAAGATGTAAGAAAGAAAGAGAGAGAGATGTGAGAAAGAAAGGGAGATGTAAGAAAGAGAAATGTAAGAAAGAAAGAGAGATGTAAGAAAGAAAGATGTGAGAAAGAAAGATGTAAGAAAGAAAGAGAGAGAGATGTGAGAAAGAAAGGGAGATGTAAGAAAGAGAAATGTAAGAAAGAAAGAGAGAGAGATGTAAGAAAGAGAGAGATGTAAGAAAGAGAAATGTAAGAAAGAAAGAGAGATGTAAGAAAGAGAGAGAGAGAGATGTGAGAAATAGATGTAAGAAAGAGAGAGAGATGTGAGAAAGAAAGATGTAAGAAAGAAAGAGAGATAGATGTGAGAAAGAAAGGGAGATGTAAGAAAGAAAGAGAGATGTAAGAGAGAGAGAGATGTGAGAAAGAAAGATCTAAGAAAGAAAGAGAGATAGATGTGAGAAAGAAAGGGAGATGTAAGAAAGAGAAATGTAAGAAAGAAAGAGAGAGAGATGTGAGAAAGATGTAAAAAAGAGAGAGAGATGTGAGAAAGAGAGAGATGTGAGAAAGAAAGAGATGTGAGAAAGAGAGAGAGAGAGCGATGTGAGAAGAGAGAGAGAGAGAGAGAGAGGTGAGAAAGAGATGTAAGAAAGAGAGAGAGATGTGAGAAAGAAAGAGAGATGTAAGAAAGAGAGAGAGATGTGAGAAAGAGAGAGAGATGTGAGAAAGAGAGAGAGAGAAAGAGAGAGAGAGCGATGTGAGAGAGAGAGAGAGAGAGAGAGAGAGAGAGAGAGAGAGCGATGTGAGAAAGAGAGAGAGAGAGAGAGA